CGGGGATGCTGCGGGGTGCGGGGAGCGCTGGGGGGCCTGGGGGGTGACTGGGGAGATGCAGCTCGGAGCGCTCCGGGATGCTGCCGGGTGACTGGAGCCCATACTGGAAGGACTGGGAAGATGAGGTTCGGAGCGCCCCGGGATGCTGCCCGGTGCTGGGAGCACTGGGAGTACTGGGAGCACTGGGAGGGACTGGGGAGGAGCGGCTCGGAGCGCTCCGGGATGCTGCCCGGTGCTGGGAGCACTGGGGGGACTGGGAGCACTGGGAGGGTCTGGGGGGTGACTGGGGAGATGCAGCTTGGAGCGCCCCGGGATGCTGCCGGGTGCCTGGAGCCCATACTGGGAGCACTGGGAGTACTGGGAGCACTGGGAAGGTGAGGTTCGGAGCACCCCGGGATGCTGCCGGGTGCCTGGAGCCCATACTGGGAGCACTGGGAGGGACTGGGGAGGAGCGGCTCGGAGCGCTCCGGGATGCTGCCCGGTGCTGGGAGCCGGTACTGGGAGCACTGGGAGGGACTGGGGAGGAGCAGCTCGGAGCGCTCCGGGATGCTGCCCGGTACTGGGAGCACTGGGAGTACTGGGGGGGTGACTGGGAAGATGCAGTTTGGAGCGTTCCGGGATGCTGCTGGGGGACTGAAGCCCGTACTGGGAGCACTGGGAAGGTGAGGTTCGGAGCACCCCGGGATGCTGCCGGGTGCCTGGAGCCCATACTGGGAGCACTGGAGGGACTGGGAGCACTGGGAAGATGAGGTTCAGAGCACCCCGCGATGCTGCCGGGTGCTGGGAGCCGGTACTGGGAGCACTGGGAGGGACTGGGGAGGAGCGGCTCGGAGCGCCCCGGGATGCTGCCCAGTGCTGGGAGCCGGTACTGGGAGGACTGGGAGCACTGGGACGATGAGATTCGGAGCACCCCGGGATGCTGCTGGATGGACCGGGGGGACTGGGAGCACTGGGAGGGACTGGGGAGGAGCGGCTCGGAGCGCCCCGGGATGCTGCCGGGTGCTGGAAGCCGGTACTGGGAGCACTGGGGAGGAGCAGCTCGGAGCACTCCACATTGCCACCGCTGCTGGGACTGGGGGTACTGGGAGCACTGGGAGGGACTGGGGAGATGCAGCTCCCCGGGATGCTGCCGAGTGCTGGTACTGGGAGGGACTGGGAGCACTGGGGGAATGTGGCTTGGAGGACTGGGGGCTGCTGCTGGGAGCTGTTACTGGGGAAACTGGGGAGATGTGCCTCGGGAGACCCAGGGCGCTGCCGGGCTCTAACTGGGAGCTGGTACTGGTGGAACTGGGGAGATGCAGAGTGGAGCACCATGGATGCTGCCAGGAGCTGGTACTGGGATCACTGGGAGGGACTGGGGAGATGCAGCACAGAGGGCTGGGGAATCTACTGGGAGCTGTTACTGGGAGCACTGGGGGAGCTGGGAACCACAGGGCAGAGCGCCAGGGGATGTGACTGGGAGCACTGGGGGGACTGGGGAGATGCAGCGCAGAGTGTCAGGGGATGCTGCCGGGCTCTGACTGGGAGCCTGTACTGGGAGCACTGGGGCGACTGGGGAGATGCAGCAGCAGATCACCAGGGGATGCTGGCGGGCTCTAACTGGGAGGCACAGCAGAGCCGATACTGGGAGCACTGGGAGATCCCGGTGGTGGTAGGGAGCAGAAGCGGAGGCGCAGCAGCGGGGATGATCCCTGGGAGCTGTAACTGGGAGAACTGGAAGGTCCTGGGAGATGGGAACTGGGAACTGCGTGGAGGTTTTGAGTGGGAGATACAGGAAAGTGTTAACTGGGAGATGGGAACTGCGTGGATGCTGTAACTGGGATTTGCTGGGAACTGGTGACCGGGAGCAGTGGGGATACTGGAACTGCGAACTGTGTGGAGTCTGTAACTGGGAGATACTGGGAGATACCCTGGGACTGTACTGGGGCTACTGGGGGCTGTGACCGGGGGGTCCGACAGGACTGGGA